TCTGAAAGGGGGGAATTGTAACTTGTAACACAAATAAAATTTCAAGAATGTCTTTTTGTAATTTTGATGGTAATTAGATCAAACAGCAAAATCACTTTTGTACAAACAGGGAAATTTTTTAAAGTTAATATATCTCTAAGGGGAATTTTTATTATTTTTTGTTTAATTTTATTTACTAATATTCCATACACAAACCACCAATCTAGCAACCTCTCAATATGAGAAGCTGATCTTATAAATAACAAAGGTACATGAAAAAAGACATATCACAGTTGAATTATAAGAGAAAAATCTTGTTTCAAGTTCTTTAACTTACTGAGTTCAGTGTTTGCCCCTAAATCTTCTGGTTTGTCCACTGGTGAGAGCTTAGCTGTGTCGGGACTCAAATTTTTTGGCACCCGATAATCAGTATCATCAAGACCGATTTCTTTCTCAAGAGTGCTCTTGAATTCTCTCGACACCTCCTGTAATTGAGAAGACGAAAAGAACAAAAAAACTTAAAATGGAGATATCTAAATTCATAACATGTCACGAGTAACATTTTTGCATTCCAAGTTGTAAAAAGAGAACAAAAAAAGACTTACCTGAAGTTCTCTAATTGTTGGTTGGAAAGCTCGTAAAGTTTTGCCAAGATTACGAGCGACCTGCCAGCGATAAATCGATAAATACAATAAACCGCGTCAGAAAAAAAAAAAAGAAAAAAAAAGGCAGCTTCTATTGGAAGTGTTTTTAGTTTTTCTATTGATTCTTTACAGTAAGCTTGATTAGATTGAGGTCTCCACTTGCGTAAACTGCGATTCACATAGAAAAAACAATCGTATAATATTTCCCAAAATTCTTTACTAGCGCTGCTTTAGAATATTCCATCATTGGCAAACATATGAAGATAAATTTTTCATAGCCTGATCTGCTGAGGTTAACTTCCATCATTATCAACTGTCTATTTGAATTCACATTCATCAGGCCAACATAAACTATTTTGTCACTTAACAGACTACACGAAATCAGTTTGTCGGTTAGCCTAACAGACTTCTAACAAGAACACTGCATACTTTTACAAATGCAAAACTTTACAATACTTGTTTTTACTCTGTCTTGAAAGGTATGACATTTGAGTATGAAACTGCATATTTTCAACAGAAAACTTTGCCTATTCCATTAACTACTCTCATGTTTGTTAACATATTGTCCACCTTTGCCAAGATTTACAAGTCTATTAGCAATGACAGCAATCTTTTGTTTATTTGCTTTTTGCCTCTTCCAACTCAGCAACAATCGATAATTGCTTACCTCAAAACTTTTTAAATTCCAGAAAGCAGCCATCATTTGGCTTACATAAGTTCACAAAAGTTCATCATAACAATTTCCACACTTTCTACCAAATACAAGTAGCAAAACACATGCAAAATGAAACCCATTTGGATTAACATACTGACCTCAGCAAGACCTTTTGGTCCAAAGACTAACAGAGCCACCACACCAATGACCAGAGCTTCAGGTGCCCCAACTCCAAATAAAGAAGCATAAACTCCTTTACTTTTACGATTTCTCTTTCTGCCTGAAAATAACACCAACACCAGCCGAATACACTCAAGAACATATTAAAGCTAACAGCTTTACTTCAAGAACATCTAAAATTTCTACACACCACATTTAATTCCACAATAGGACACATAGTTCACCAATCAAATCAAGAAAAACCCAATAAGCAAAGAAGGGATCTACCAAACTTCACCGAGTATCGCGAAATTGTGCCGCCCATGTGATTGAGTCCATTCCAATGACGAAAAGAAGCCGAACCCAGCTGCGGAATGCATTTAATTTGCCGAAAGATTGCATTTTTAGGGGTTGCAGAGTTTGAGAAATAACAGTGAGGTGAGATTTTACGACCAGTGGATGAAGATGAAGGAGAAGAGGAATAATGAAGGAAAGATGGTGATGAAGGATTGGAAACAGCAAAAACCATAGTACAAGTCATGTGGAAGTCAACGAAAGCCGAGCTTGATTTTGGAGCTTTTTTCAGACATGAAAATGGTGGAGAGGATTCGTTTTTGTATCGGATTTTAGTTTTGTTCATTGAGAAAATTGCACGTTTTTCCATTATATCTGTCCCAAGTTTACACATATTGTTTACCGTAGCTCTTCTTAAATAATTGCACACATATTAATTATAATATTTATTTACAATTGCACTACATTCCTAAAAAGTATTATGTTTATACGAACACCATAATCTCGAATTCCTGCAGCACATCCAAATCTGAAATCTGACATCACGATTCCTCCACCCAAAAGCAACACAAATCCACCACACCTTCTTCACAGTCGATCAGATCCAAACCCTAGCCATCGACCAACTAGGACGATTCTGGCTTGGGAGATTTCTAGAGTAAATTTGGAGGGAAATTGGGGATTAATTTGAGAAGTTGAAGGTGTATATGTTATGTGAATTTTGGATTTCAATGTTTATTTGACAACTATTAATAATTTATGTTTAATATATGAACAACATTGTCATGTAACGAGATTTGATAACATAAACCTGTTATAAATTACAAATAGACTATATATAAATTTAAAGAGACAATAGTACTTAATTTTACAATAAAAGTGTATCTTTTATGTATATGTGTAATATTTTTATTAAGGTTAATATATATGCAAGATGTTTCAAAATTTGTAGTACATATAATTTATCCTATACATTAGCCCAATGTGAATTGATTGACCCACTAATGTGAATTGTACAAGACTAAACCAATGAACTAGTTAACTAATGTCCGATGAATGAGCTAATGTAATGTAATGTTCAATAAATACATGATGATTTTGCTTTTTAATCCTTTTTACATTAAAACCAAAATGTTGTTACTATTTTTTTTATCCCAAATGCATTGTGCCGAACTAGTTTATCCCGCTTTCGACTAGACTTTTATCGGACCAGACTCTGATATTTATGTGTCATTTGCTATATTCTTGATTGTTTTTCGTTATTAGCTCTTCGAATTTAAATGTGTAATGATAGAAAATTCATAAGATATTCATAGAAGGTGTGTAGTTACATCACCAGAGTTCTGAAACCGTAAATCAGTACAAAAACATTTGTCTCTACATACAATTTATTCACTATTATAATCTTCAAATTTTTGAGGATTGGTCTACATTGGATGATTCCACCNTTATAACATGGCCCTAATCACACATGCATGCACTTGAATTCACAAACACACACACCACACTTCCAACTATTATCACATTATAACTAATTTAACAACAAAAAATTAATTTCGAGCTGATCATCATCAGATCTTTCATCCCAAACCCCCCCAAATGCATATCAATTTACACAATTACCCTCTGATGAGGATCAAGCCGATGGCCGTGACGATAATCGTTGACGGGACCCCGAATTTGAGATGGCTCCAAAACGAGAGGTTGTAGCCGTAGTGCTGGGCCCGTCGGGCCTGCTCACACACGATCAAGTTAGCGGCCGAGCCCAATAAGGAGAGGTTACCAGCCACTGTGCTAACCCATGCTAATATCAGCCAAGCTTTCTTTTCACTCGTTGGCGATATCATGCCAGCTGAGGCCGCCACTCGACTGCCTAGCAACAGCACTGAAAGGAAAAAAAAAATTAGTGAGCCAAGCACGATTTTTTTTTACAGTTACGCAATCAGGCGAAAAACAGAATAATAAAGAACAATTATAAAGACTCTCAAGGTAGTATTATCAGTAATTATCAAGATTTTTTTGCACTTTAGAGATAATTAATAGCGCACTCAAAGGAGAATTGTGGCTCACCTGTAGGCACATTTGAGGCGACATTCGAGAGAACGAGTATAACAACTGCCAAAACCGCGGTCCCTCCAATATGATCGATTTTCGAATATGGCTCCATGAATTCCCACAACGTGCTTGGAATTCCCGTCCGATTAAACCCATCCACGGTTATGAACATCCCGCAAAAGAAAATCAAGAGCGAGTACGAAACCTGCACGATTAATGAAATGAAGAAGCATTAACAATTAATTACAATCCTTCTCATATAGTCCTCTGGGAAAATTTTCGAACTGTATTAAGAATCGGGGAAGGACTACAGTCCCGTTACGGATTCATTCGTCGGAGCTTTAACCGTTAGATACACATGTAGATTAGTGTAGTTTAAATAATCTACGGTTAAAAAAACTGACAAAAACTGACAGTATGATTCCGTAACAGGACTGTAGTCATTCCCTAAGAATTGTTGCGGAAGAATAATGACCGAAATGCCCTTTGTAAGACCTTTTCGAGAGAGGGCCTCGCGTCCTTAAAATCGAGCACAACGAGCGCAAGAGCAGCCGTGATCGCGGTCCACGACATGTTGAGACCCATCAACAATGATACCAACATCCCGAACGTGACTAAGTAAACGCACGACTTCCACAAACCCCTCGTTAATTTTCTCGACAAACCAAACTTCCCTTCCGCAAACAACGTCAATCCCCCGCCCCCAACCCCATTAACCGAAAACGAGCTCCTCCTCGACTCAACTTCCAACCTCTCGCTCGGAACCTTCCGGATAATCTCCACCTCGCCGAAATGATCCCTACCAGAGTGCCCGTTAACCGTAACCTCGCTATTATTATTCACCTCGGACGAGTTGACTCGGTTCCTGAGGCTCGACTCGGTCGACTCGATTGCCGCGGTCAACTCTTTCGAGTCGAACGAGCCTTGGTGCGACATCGTGGCCGGCGAGAAGTGATGAGACGTGATGTCATCTTCCCGGACGACGACCTCCTCACCTAAATCCTCCTCGTCTTTCGGCACGACAGACAACGATTTCCAATACATACATAGAAGAATCACGGCATTCGCGCAAACTCCCACGATCATGGCGGGCAAAATCCCGAGCAAGAAGCCGCCGAACGTGATCCCGCTCTGAACCGCGATCACGAGGTTCTGAGGGTTGCCGATCGGCGTGGCGGCCGACCCTATGTTGGCGCTCGAGGCGAGCGCGAGCAAAAACGGGTGCGGAGGGAGGTTTTGCTGACGGGCGATTTTCAACACGAATTCGGTTAAAACGACGCAAGAAGTGTCGTTGGTGAAGAGGGCGCTACTTATGGCCGAAATGAGGGAGATTCGGCAGAGGAGATCTTTGGGGCCGCGGGTTTTGTAAGAGAGGAGTTTGCCAAGGTATTTGAACATGTCGGCTCGTTCGAGGTAGACGCTAACGACCATTGTGCCGAAGAGTAAGCCGAGGATTGGGAGATCGATTGCGGCGTAAGCTTGGTCGGGAGAGGAGACTCGGAAAAGGACCATAAGCATGGCGCCGAGGAGAGAACCGGCTGTGCGGCCCACCGGAAGGAAAGGGACGGCCGGAAAAACGGCGAGAACCCAGAACACGGCGAAAGCTAACGAGCCCAGGATTACCTTTACGG